AAAAAGAAAGAGAGAAAGAGAGAAAGAGAGAAAGAGAGAAAGAGAGAAAGAGAGAAAGAGAGAAAGAGAGAAAGAGAGAAAGAGAGAAAGAAAGAAAGAAAGAAAGAAAGAAAGACGAACCGGCCCGCGTGAGCTGGACATGGTAAGGAAGGGCAGAGGAGGGGAAGGTGGACAGCTCAAGGCAGGATTCGTAGGGCGAGGAAGGACACAGAATTTGCAGACAGGATGGTGTAAAGAGCAGGGCCAGTCAGGGCGGCGTCTGCCAGGTTTTCCATCCATAAAGATTTAAGGCCTCCTGGGCCTTCCAGTGTCACCCGCTGTAACGTCCTGAGAGCAGCCAGACTCCCCATGCAGAGGGGCGCTCCAGGCCAGCAAAACGTCCTTCCCAACAGGCGATGCACAGGTGCTGGGCCGCGGCTGGCCACCCCTGGGTTAGGGGAACTGAGAACAGCTCAGATGGCGGGTAAAGGGAGCAGGAGAGGCAGGCAGGCTGCAGGGGCGGCAGGGTTGGGGCCCGGCAGAGACCCATGGAGAGTGCTGAGGAATAAAACTGGAGGTGGCCTGAGGGAGAAGGATGCCATTACTGGGTCTAAGCACAGAAAGCCGGCAACGGGCCTGGGCCTCAGAGAGACCACTCTGGTCGCCGGGCAGCCCTGGGGAAATGGCAGAAGAGTGGCCAGTGACCGCGTGGAAGGTGGGGGTCAGTGGCCAAGATTGATTCCAGCGCCTGCAGTGCCATGGTGTGGCTGCCGGGGCAGTGCGGGATTTGCAGCTGCAAGCATATGAGCGCCCCTCTGTGGCTTAGCCGACTGCCACGGCTGGGCCACGGCCCCACCTCAGAGCTCTGCAGAAGCTGGTCTACGAGTGAAGCAGGTCGCTATGGGGCCACTGCACCTGCAGAACAGGGCAGGACAACGCACAGCTCTGGCCATCTCAGAGACCTGGGGCTTGAGCAGGGAGCCAGTGTCACCCTCACTGAGCTCAGGTGGAGCCCTCTGCAGAGAGCAGCCCTGCCCTCAGATGCTACCCGCGCAGGACGACGTTCCCCGAGGAGGCACTGGGCATCAGCGCGAGAGGGGAGGCAGCGGGGGGTCCGACGGGGCAGCAACGTCCACCCCGGTCAGGTTGGTGGCCCCTTGCTGATAACTGTTGCACAGACAACTGACTGCCAAAGTGGGTCAAGGAGACCATTCTCTGAACAACTAAGCAGCAAGTAGTCTGCTAAAAATATTTCAGAAAAACAAAATCGCCAGAGAGAAATAGGAGGCTATGTCAGCCTCAAGGGCTCCTGGGAAGATCAAACAGATCCACGAGAAGAACCCCTCTTGCTCCCAGCTTACCTCCCACCCCTCCCCAATATGTCCCCACACCCCAAAACCTCCGCACCTTGGTCTTCATGCTTTCCTCACATGTCTTAGCCTGGGGGCCCAGAAGCAGAGCCCGCACAAGAACGGGGTACCAGGAGCCCTCCTCTGCAGCTGAGGCTGAGTGGGGGGAGCCCAGGGAACATCACCACCCTCTGCACCAGCTGTCCACGGGGCGCTGGAGGGTGCCACTTGGAACCCTGGAGCCACAGCAGGCCCTGGTTTGGATCCCAGCTCGGCCTGAACACAGCGGGCGTGCCCACAGGCACCCATGATCCCAGCAGGCTGGAAGGCCTGGGGCGAGGAGCTGCTGTGGAGAGACCCCATCAAAAGTCTGTCCCTCTCTCTGTCTCTCATTAAACAAACAAAGCTCTGAAAGCCCCCGCTGGATCACACCTGCCCAGCAGCTCCTGCCAGCCCGCGAGGGCCACTTCCATCACGGCGCCCCCAGGCAGACCTGCCCTTTCCCGTGCACGGGACACTGCTGTGGAGCCTGGCTACCTGCCATCGCCCTGTGCTTTGCCGTGACCACTGCAGGCCACACAGCTGGTCTTGTCCCACTGCAGTATGAGAAGTGGGTGGAGGACGGACGGACCCGGCAGAGGGGCAGGAGTTTGCCCAGATGACTGGCCACTGCTGACAAAAACGGGTCTCAGGCCAAGGGCAGGCAGCATGTCAGTGCCAGGCCGATCCCGGCAGGGGCCTGCAGCACACAGATGCTCACTGGGCGGCAGAGAGGAGCACTCCCCCAGCATAGCATGCCCCTGTCCCATGGGGAGTGCCATGACAAAATCCATCCCTGGCCCATCAAGGCCAGGAGAGCATTTCTTCAACGAGCAAAACTGACTCCCTCCCTGCTCCCGCCAGCTCCCAGCCTCAGGAACACCATTCTGACATGTCTCCTCCCCTCTGGAATGCAAACCCGCAAGAGATGCCTGTTATAAGAAAACGAAAGCCACTTAGTGTCATCTTGGGTTTTTGTTGTGTTTTTCCCCACAAGGATAACTTGAGGCTGAGAGTCCTTGATCATGTGAAGATGTCTCTTCCCAAGACATGGTTGCGGCCACCCACTCGAAGCTGATGCCAGTTAGCTGACTGGGTCCTTTGACCCACACCCCACACACATGCACACATGCCAGGACAGAGCCCACGGCTCTCCTCAGCTCTGCCCATCCAGCCCAGCGAATTTCCCTTTTCTCCACTAGCTCTTCTATTCATAATGAATTAAGGTACTCGACAACTGTATGAACGCAGAAAGGCCCACGATGAAGAGGGAAGGCAGGACGTGACTCAGAAAGGCCAGTGGAAGCCCTGGCCCTCCCACAGCTGTCTGCTTGGAAGAGGGAGCATATTCCAGTTCAAAGGAGCCAGCTGGGCCATCGCTCTTTTATAGGCATAGATAGGCCTTCCCACTGCCCCCATATCACCCTAGGTGCACCCTCTTCCATGAGGTACACACACATATACGTGTGTACACACACGCACATTCCATGCTGTAAATTCATAAATATGCTTACTTCACCAAATTTTGAGCTTTTGAAGTGCTAGCTCTGAATCAAGCAGCAGCCAAGGCACATGGATGGTGTTTAATGCATCCCTGATGGACAATTGCATGGGGGATACATGTATGTGTGGATGGAAGGATGGATGGGTGGATGTAGGAATGGATGGATGAGCAGGGGTGGGTTCGTAGTGGGTAGATGGATGAGCTGGGGTGGGTTTGTAGTGGGTAGATGGATGAAGGGGGTTATGAGTGGGTAAATGGATGTGTGGATAGATGGATGGATGTGTGGATGGATGTGTGGATGGATGAATGAGCCAGGTGGGTTCTGAGTGGGTGAGTGGCTGAATGGATAGGTGGATGAGTGGATGGATGGATGGATGGATGGATGGATGGATGGATGGATGGATGGAGGAGTAGGTTAATGGATGGATGGGTACATGGAAGGTTGGAGAGATAGATGAGCAAGGGGTAGATTTTTGAGTGGATGGATGGATGGATGGATAGGTGGATGGATTGATGGATGAATGGAAGGATGGTGGAGGGATGGGTGAGTGAGGGATTGGCTTTTGAGTGGATGGATGGATAGATAGGTAGATGGATGGATGGTAGAGAGATGGATAGATGTGTGGATGGATGAGCTGGGAGTGGGTTTGTGAGTGGATGGGTGGGTGGATGAATGGATGGGTGGGATGGGTGAGAGGATGGATGAATGGAAAGATGCATAGGTGGGTGGATGGTGGATGGGTCAGTGGATGGAGGGATGGATGTGTGGATGGATCAATGAACCAGTGGGGAGGGGGTTGTAAGTGAATGAGTGGGTAGGTGGATGGATGGGTGGATGTGTGGCTGGATGGATGAGTGGTGGGGTGTGTTTGTAAGTAGAGAGATGGGTGGACAGATGGTGGGTGGATAGGTGGGTAAGTAGATGGGAAGTAGATGTACAGGTGTGTGGTGTGAGAAAGGGTAGATGGGTGGGTGGATGGATGGGTGGTTGTGTGGGTGGATGGCCAGGCGCATGGATGGGTGGATAGGTGTTTATGAGTGGGGTAAGTGGATGGATGGATAGATGGATGGGTGGATGGGTGGGCATATGAGTGGTTGGATAGAGGGGTCTCCTATTAAACAGGTACACACTAATTGTGTTTCACAAAAAGAGAAAGTATAAAGAACAGATGACAAGAAAAGAAATGCACTTCTTCAACTTTGATTGGGAAAAGCTTCTTCTCTTCAAAGAGCACTCTGCTTCTCATTTATAACCTCCTCAAAATTTCTCCTTAATCTTCTAGTAGAGCTATTTCCATCTAGGTCCATACTTCTGCCTGCCCCCTTGGTATGCTGCCTCAGTATTTCTCCCAGGCTTGATCAGAAGCAAGCATTCCAAGACTGACTGTGAATCCACCAGCTGCTCTCCCACTGCGGCATCCCCACTCAGGCCATCTACTTTGTGTAAAGTGACTCAGGCTGACGGTTCCCTACTGGGGATGCAGAGGGCGGGAATGTCCTGCCCTCACAGTCTCGTTGTCCAGAGGAGGGACTTTTTAGGGAGACCAAGAGCAGAAGTAGAAAGGCTGCCTAGGCTTGGGAACTTCTCCTGATCCTGGAAAAGTTAAGAGAAGCCATCCCTCAGGGCAGGTGGGTGGACTGCAGTGTCAGGATGTGGATGTGCCAAGCCCTGAGCTGGGATATCTGGAAGGA